CCCACGTGTCAAACATGGACAACCAAGTTCCTACCTCGTGGGATTATCATGAGGATCCAATGGAATGATCACTGAAAAGATGTCCGAATGGGCCCCGGAGCCACCGACCAGCTGTGAACCCGGGTACCCAGGCTCCCTGTTGTAAAATGACAGGCATGATAGTACCTACCTTGCAGGGTTGCTGGGAGACTAAAATTAATACGTGTAAAGTGTTGGGCATAGAATAAACACTACTTAAGTGCCACTCTTACTGTTTAATTAATAAAAACAGACAAGGAAATGATTTATCACTTTGCTTTGATGAATGACTGTGGCTCCTGAGGGGGCCTCATTGGCCCCCACCCCATCTGCTCCCCAGCCCCCAGCCAGTGGGGGCAGGGAACTGGGAGTTTTCTTTAATCGGCAGAGCACAGGCTGTTTCACAGGCCGGCTAAGTGCACACCTAGTTCCAGCTGACTGCCTTGGGTGACTGGTAGGGGGGCGGAGTTCCCGTTTGTCCCCGATCAATCTGGAAACTGAGAAGCAGCCAGAATCGTCATTTTCCACCATCCGGCCTGCAGCCTGGGATATAGTTCCTGATGGAGGAGCTGCTGGGCCCAAGGGCCTGGGAGGAGGCAGGAGAGGTGGGTTCTTCCTGATGGACAGACAGGGGCCCCTGTTATCAGTTAGGGGGGCAGGACACCGTTCAGAGGGGCAGGAGGGCTAAGGTGGCTTAAGAGTGGCTCTGGGTCCTGGCCTGTGTGGCTCAGTGGTTAGAGCGTCCGCCTAGGCACCAAAGGGTCGCTGGTTCTACTCCCGGTCAAGGGCACGTACCTGGGTTGCCGGTTAGATCCCCACTCAGGGCGCATGTGGGAGGCAACAGATCCATGTGTCTCTCTCACATCGATGTTTCTCTCTATATATCTATTCCCCTCCCTCCCTTCCACTCTCTCTAAAATGGAAAAAATATCCTCTGGTAAGGATTAACAACAAAAAAAAGCGGCTCTGGGCCCCATGCTGTGGATGTCAAGGTTCTATCCTTGACACCATGTAGCCCAAAGTGACGAGCAGGCACGTCGGCTGGTATTTCATAAGCACCTACTATGAGCTTCCATCAGGCAAAGCAAAAAGAGAGGAAACACAGCAGGGGGTGTGAGAACTAAAAATACAAGTTCCATCTGGGAGAAGCGACAAGTTGGGCAACTGTGTTTATAAAGATGGCCCAGTGACAAGCTGGCATTCATTCAACCGCTCCTTTGTTTACTTCGAAACTGTGGAACTGCACCTACCACCAGCCAGGCATGGTCCTGATGCCTTGCAGATGCCAAAGAAAGCAAGATGCAGGCCATGCTTCCCAACAGTCACAGAGAAGATCGTGGGACCACTGTTTATCGGGCACGGACCGTGAGCCTGGCTTCGCTTAGGTTATTTTGTCTAATTCTCACAATAGCTCAAGGAGAGAGGTCCTATTTTTACCCTGTGTTTGCAGATGGGGAGCCAGAAGCTCTGAGAGGGGTTAGTCACTTGACTGAGACCTGTGTGGTTAGGAGGAGACAAGGCTCAAACCTGACAGTCCGATCCGACCCACACTCCTGCTGCCACCCTGCCTCTCCGAAGAACCAGGCCACAATGTTTGAACAGCTGGGGGGACAAACTACAGAAAGTCCAGTGGGACTTTCTAGAAGCGGGAGTGCCCTCCAGCTGGGGGTGGGTGGGTGAGCCCTTGGCAGCCCAAGGCATCTAATGTCTTGCACATAGTAGGTGGTCAATAAGCACTTGCTGGCTGAGTGACTTCTGGCCCTTGTCTCCTTAATGTCATTCACAAAGCATCACTTTATCCACAAGTCCACGAAGAAGGACTTTGGGAATTCTCAGTTTGTAGAGGAGGAAACTGAGGCTAGTGGGAAATGGGTCCGGACTTGAACCCAAGCCCCCAGGACTCTGCAGCCCAAGTTCTTTCCCTCAGCCTTGGAGCCACTCGGGGGACGGACTCAAGATGAGACCCAAACCCCAGGTCCTTCCAGCTCCACAAGCTGCCTCTTCCTCAGACCCAAGAGGCAGTTTATTTATCCCACTTGGGTGCAAAACATTCTCTCTTGACACTTTCCACACTGGGAACCTGCATCCTAAACCTGCAGGCGTGACCTCGAGCTGCTGTCACCCCGCCTGGTTTGGGGGCCACCTGTGGGCTCTGCCTCCAAGAAGCTGGCCCCGATGGTGCTGCAGGCCCGTGGCTTTGCCGCTCGCCCTCCAAGGGGACCAGCGCTAGATGGAGGCGAGGGAAGGGGCCGCGTCCCCTCGTTCTGGGCCTGACTCCTCCGTCTTGGAAAGCGAGCGTCGGAACATCTGCTCGAACGAGCCCCGGCATATTAAACAGCCGCCGAAAATGCATTGTCGCCTCCCTCAATACATAGCAATTACATGGTGTGTTTTGCTCATTAGCGAGAAATTGACACAGAGGCAATCCTGCTTTTTTAAATTACCGCTAATCTCCCTGCACCTGCTTGGGGAGGAAGGCAGGAGAAAAAAATAAATAAAGGTCGGTAAAAAGCATTGCATGATATTTTAAAAACAAACGCTTTCAGAACTCCCTTCAAAATAGCTTTTTGGGCTCGCGGGCTTCCCCCCTCCCGTCTTGCTTTAAGGGAGCCCCTGAGCCTCATGCCACAGGCTGCCAGCGTCACAGGCTCGAGGCGTGAGCCTGGATCCCTCGAGTTCTTAAAAGCAAGATGCCGAGGTTAATCGTGCGTTGAGGGACCTGGTGCACAGTAAGGACAACCACTGTACCTAAGAGGCTCATGGAAAACTGACTTCTCTCGGGGTGATCGGGGATGCACAAGCCGCCCCAGGGCTCAGAGAGGGAGAGCCACTTGCCTGAATCACACAGCTCTCCCTGAAGCTGGCATTCAGATTTAACTGAGTGTGGGTTGCCGCTGTGAACTGTGCCGAGGTGGGTGAAGAAGCCCTGGAGTGACGGAGAATCACAACAGCCTTTGAGGCAAATAAATTCGAAACATATTTGCTCCCTGAGCACCTCGCGGTAGTGAGTTCTAGTCACCGGGAAGCCCAGGGGTGAAGAGTGCAGGCTCCCGAAACTCCAAGGCCTGACAGAGAGGAGTTGAGGGACACACGGCGCGCCACAGGGAGCGCGAGCATGGGGAAGCACTCCTCAGCGGGGCATCAGGGAAGGCTTACCGGAGGAGGTGGCAGCTGAGCTGGGCCTTCTAAGGATGGGCAGGAATAGGGCTGAAGGAGTTGTGGCTTGGACCTGCCTGGTCTTGGAGGAGGAACTTGTTGACACTGAGAACGATGCTGACTTTTTAAAAATTTTATTTTTCAATTACAGCTGACATTCAATATTATTTTGTATTAGCTTCAGGTGTACAGCGTCGTGGTTAAACATATGCTCTCCAAAGCGTTCCCCCAGATATTGAATTTCCATCTTTCTCATGGGCGACCGAAGCAGAGAGGCTGCTGGAGGAGAGAAGGTGACATTTCTCACTTTTCACTCCTCCCTCCTTTAGTCTCCTTCCTGGGTGCCCACTGTCAGCCGGGGGTCGTGCTGGGCACCAGGGAGGCCGTGATGGACAGTCTGGTCCCTCTTGGAGCCCACGGACTGGTGGGATGTTAATCCTGCTGTGCGGTGACCTTGTGGAGCTGAGGGGGGGGGACAGTTAAATACCACAGTACAGGGTTTGTTCTGGCTCCTTCCGGCCCTGGGGAGCCGCGGCAGGTTTTAAGCAGGGCAATGACATGATCTGAACCGGACAAGAGAGAATTGCTTGGGCAGCAGGGATAGGATGGATTGAAGGAGGCCGGAGGCAGGGAGGTGAGTGAGCATGAAAGGGGCGGCCAGCAGCTGCACCCCGCCTTTGTCTGGGGCTCTCTGGTCGCCCCTGCTCCCGTGTGGGGGATGGAACGTCAGGGGAGGGAGAACAGGCGGCAGGTCTGGAAAAAGATGAAGGGTTTCCATGGCAACCTTTGCTTGCCCGTCGCCAAGGTAGCTCTGCAAATTCCCCAGGCATCGTTCCCATGGACCTTGAAGCCAGCATCCCTGGCAGCTGAAAGCCTGGCTTTAGAAAGCCTGGGACGCGGCGCATGTGGGAAGGCAGAGGGGGAGAGAGTCGAGGCGGAGCTGTGCTGCTGGGACCAGGGTGCCCTCCCATCCTCCCAGGCAGCCCTCAAAATGCCCCTGAGCCCCTTCTGCAGGCTCCTGCTCCCTACTTCGGGCAGGGACCCTCCCAAGCCCGCCCTCACCCTTTGGCTTGTGTTCTATACCATGGGGCCTCGAGGCATCTGGAAAATGGGCTGCCGCGGCCTCCCTCCGGGGTCCTTGGGATGGCACGACCTGCAGTTCTGTTGGCCAAGCTCCCCGCACTATGCCTGCTCCCCACACAAGGCGAGTCCAAACCCCAGTGGCTGTTCTCTTTGGCGCCGGGTATCGGGACACCAGGCCGTCCTCTCAGGACAGCCGCGGATGGCGCGTGACCTTGAGAAAGTCACTTCCTTTCCTTTTGTTCTTCTCTTTACGCGCCGTAGGGGGACGCCGGCCCCTTTCCCAGGCTCCGCGGGTTCTTTAGCCCGATGACTATTACTGTTAGTGTTTTTGTTGCTGCTGTTACCAGATTGTTGCTATTTTCAGTACTATTATTATAAGCCCTGTCCTGCTGATCTCTGGTGCAAAGGCAAAGATAATGAGTCCAGGAAATATCCCGCTTAGTTGAGAATATGAAATTATCACGCCAGAGCAGACGAGGCAATACCCCGTTCCCTCCCCTCAGACGTGGCTATATGACTGGAGTTCGAATTAAACACTGTATCGTCCCTACACCGCGACAGCCCTGCCGGAGGATGCTGGGAAGGCTTAAGCAAGTTAATCCTCAAATAGTCATCTGTCTTCATCTTAATCGTCGACCCAAATGCCCGATCCTTGAGCTCCCACACCAGGCCTGGGGGGTCTGTCCGTTTGCGCCCCGCATGGCCCTGAATGACTGAGAATCCCGAGCTCATACCCTTATGAGATGCAGCCCCTCCTGCTGCAGAAAAGCGCATTCACGGACCAGGGTTAGCTCAGGGCGGTGTTCCCACCCCTGGCACAACTCTTGGGCGCAGGGTGGACACTCACGTTTGTTGAAAAGTAGGAGGGGGGAGGAGGGAGGGGAGGAGGGAGGTAGGAGTGGGGATGGTGCTTTCTGAGTCAAGCACCCTCCAGCCATTCATTTCGAGAGGAGGTAGAAGCAGAACCTCTCACATCTCTCTCGGTGGAAAAGCCTAATTTTTCCCCTCTGGCCCCAGTTTTTCTCTCTTTCCTTTTACTCACTAACACCCAAAGGAAGAAAAAATATATATATTTCTAAGATGCGAGAGCATCCAAGTTTCAAACCTGCCTAGCGCGCCTCTCCCCAGCAGGGTCGGTGACTCCCCCGCTATTTCTCCTGGGTCGTTGTCATTAATTGAATTAAATGAGATAATATTTGTTGGGTACTTAGCGCCGCGCCTGGAAATAGATGTTTATTGCACAGAAAGGAATCTGTAATGGGTAGCGACGATCAGCCTTGTTGTGGCTGCTCGTAATGAGGGAATTAATAACCCCCTTCATTCGCACAGCGCTGTGGAACTTCCCGCCCGGTTCCCAAAGGGTTTCCTCATGACTCCGCCTGGGCGTCAGGTTTTCCATCACGCGGACGGGGGCATTGATCACGCGAACCACGTGAAGCTGTCGGAAGGCCACGCACCCGCGCTGGGGGTGAGCGTGTATTGCGGACTCTGGGGGGATTTGCCAGCATCGAGGGCGTGGTGTTTGGCGTTGGCTGAGTGGAGAGGTGGAGCTATCTCTGTCTATTTGTAGGACGACCCCAGATTCTCACCCCAAGGCCTGACATGACTGCCCGGCTGCGCTCTTTTGGCCTGGACCAGGTGCGCACAAAGCCCAAGTAGGTGGGGTACATTGGTAGGGGCAGAAAGGTCTCAATTATGCTATTAGTGGAACCGCTAAGAGCACCGACTTGGGCGTCGGAGGGGCTGCTGGGTAGGTTCTCGCCAAGGCGACAAAGTACCTGGACAGAGCCGGTGTCCCCTGCAGAGGGGCCGTCATCTCAGGGACTGCTCAGAGCGGTTTGCGGAGTTGAAAGCCTCACCCCAGAACAGGGAGACTCCAAACACATATTCGTTTTTTTCCTGTTGTTGGAGCAACAGGGCAGGCCCGGGTACAGCGGCTCACGGCCCAGTGCAACTCTGTGGCAAGTGAACGACAGGCTACTGGCCTTGTCACAATCCTGGGCTCTCCCTTCTGCCCACAGACCTCTCACCTGCTTTGTTGCTGCTGCTGATGATGATGATGGTGCTGTCTGTCTGTCTGTCTGTCTGATTTCACTGTCCCCAAACCTCGCTTCAGGCACCCCTGCTCCCTGCCAGTTATAATGCCCTTTCTCAACCACCTCATGTATTTGCATTAAAAATGGCAGAGAAAACCAGAGGCCTGGACTTTTTTGACTTTGAATCCACAGTGACTAGCTCATTGCTCACACATAGTAGATGCCCGGAAAATGTTTGTTGAGTTGTTTCTGCATTTAGTTGAATTATTATTTAGTTTAGGATCATGTGCTCATTGTCACTGAGTGGAACTATTTAGTTGAATGCAGTTTACTGCAAACATTCTCGAAACAGTCAGTATTGCACCCAAGGGGACAAAGATTGGTTCTTGGGCTCCCATGTATATATAAAGCACACGGACAGATATATCAGCAGGATTAAATTTTCATGAAAAAGCCTGGCCAGTGTTGCTTAGTGGTTGAGCATTGATCCATGAACCGGGAGATCACAGTTCAATTCCCAGTAGGGGACATGCCCGAGTTTCGGGCTCGATCCCCAGTAGAGGTTGTGCAGGAGGCAGCCCACCAGTGACTCTCATCATTGATGTTTCTATCTCTCTCTCTCCCTCTCCCGTCTTCTCTCTGAAAAAAAAAAAAAAAAAAATTTTTTAATTTTTTCATGAAAAGATTATTTGGAAAGGTTGCTGGGATGGGCGATAATGAAAAATAAAAGATTTGATAAACAGGTTTATAATATAACTCGTTCAAAGTTATCATTTTAAAAATCTGAACCAGAAAACACAAATAGATAGAGCTCATCATTAAATAATTCCCCCACGTGAACCACCAGTGGGAGTTCATGGAAAACAGTCATCCTTCTTAGAGGTCAAGTCAACACCCCGACAGTGCCCTTGAGGGACCACATGACACTGACGAAATTAGCTTAAAACGTTTAAACCAGCAACACTCGGTGCTGGCAAGGTGACTGCGACATTGGTAAGCTCGGAAAGACCCCTTAGGAAGCAATACAGCCATTCCCTTCAGCCCGGGCTATAAAATTCTTCATGCCCCCTGACCAAAGGATTTCATTCCAGGGAATCTGGGATTGGAAGCGGATTCCGTGGTAGCAAAAGTTGGTTGCACAAGGATGCTCATTAGGTGTAGCTAGCATTGCGGGG